TTATGTTAATATTAGACTTTACTAGAAAATTATTATCGACTCTATTAAAGTTTATTAATATTTTTATAATAACATTTGTTTTCGTTAAATTTATTTACATATAATATAATTAATTATTAATTACTAATATTGTATTGAGCTTTACATACAAATGCTCAAACATTATGACATTATTATTAATATTATTGATTTATTTTAAACATTAGTAAATTTTTCTTTTAATGACTATTTTAATTATATTAGTTAAATAAATATTTAATATTATGATTTGTTAATTAAAAAAATGATTTGATTTTATTTATCAAATAAATAATTATTAATTTATTTTTTATAGTTTTTTATCTAAATTTAATAGCCATGTTTATAATAAAAAGAAATTATAATAAAAAACAGATAATTTAAAATTATATAAAATTAAAAAATATATATTAGCATAATTTACAGTTTTACATAAATTTAATAATTCAGCTAAAAACAATTTGCCAGAAAAGCATTAAAAAATTAATCTAATATTTGATAGTTTTAAATAAATTATATAAATATGTAATAAAAATATAGTACAGTTTCTGGCATCACCCATATTGATTATGGTAAATGTAGATTTAATTAATTAGTCAATTTTATAAAAATATAAAAAATAATAAATAAATAAATTGATTGTGTCGTGATCCGCTAATTGTTAAGTTATTAGTAATTATAAAATAATAAAAAATAATTTATTTTGAAATTTACAGTTTTTTAAAATAATAAAACAAAAAATAAATTTTGACTGATTATTGAGATTTTTCTAAATTCTAATTATTTATGTATAAACCTAAAAATTTTTTACAAAAATAAAAATCTAACTATTTACAGATTTTTAATATAATTTTTTTTAATACAGTAAATTTTTAATAAATAAGTAATATTTTAATCCAATTTAAGTTATCATATTTATATATAAAAAAAATGTTTGATCGACATTTCTAAATATATTTTTATAAAAAAAATTTATTAAACAATTATTATTTCTATTATTATTACAGTTTTGTATCACAACTTAATATTATATTATTTAATAAAAATGATTTTTTAAATATTAGCTCAATTCTATTATTAATCTATTATTAAATATCAAAAGTAATTTAATAAAGATAAAAAATATATATTTAAATAAATTAAATTATTAATAATAATTAAAAAAAACATATTGAAGTTTACATACAATTGATAATAATTAATAAGTATTATTATAATCAAAAAATTATAATACATTTTAATTATAGTTTATGTAATCACAGTTTTTATTTAATATTTATATATATATTGTATATCATTGTTATACAGTATAATATATTAAATAATTATATAACAAAAAAATGAATTTAATTTAAAAATAAATATTATTTATAAAAATTTTATTAAAAAACAAATTTATTTTTTTTAAATATTTTATTGCATTATTTATATTAGAGTTTTAAAAAAATTAAATGAAGTATTTAATATAAAATAAGTTTTTTTATATATAATGAAAATTATAGTTAAATTATAAATATTAATTATATAATTATTACAGTTTGTGTGCTTAGTTTGACATAAATTAAATAACATAATAACTTACATACTTTAAGATAAATATATTAAAATCTTAATAAAATCTAATATATAATTTAATAAAAATTACATAATATGTAATAATAATAATAATAATATTTGAAATTAAATATTTATTTTCAGTTACATTTTTTAAAAAATTATTTCATTTACATTTTAATAGTTGTCAATTAAATACACTTGGTTTTTTTTCGAAATATAAATATATAGAAAAAATTATTTATATTTAGTAAAACATATTTTAATTAATTTATATAATGAAAAAATTGCTTGCTTCGCTAAACAATAGGCTAATTTATTTTATATACAAATTATTATTATATTAAATATTTTCATTTAAAAATTATTACAGTTTTTATTTAGTTACTATTACTATTAGTAAAAAATTATCGACAAATCATTTGAATAGCTTAAATATTTGGGGGTGACTGAAAAAAACCAATTCTTTTCTAAATAAAACCAAAAAGAATTGGTTTTTTCAGTCAAAATCTGAAAAAACCAATTCTTTTTAATATTTTTTAAATTTTTTAATAAAATATAATTTAATATTGTAATTTTAATATTTCAATTAATAAATTTATATGAAATGGTTAATATTATGCATATTTACAAATATTGACCAATGGTCAGTTTCATTAAATTTTACTTAAAATTATTTATTTTATATTAATTTTATATATTAATCATTTTAAACAATAATTTTATCAAAAGTGACCAATGGTCAACAATTGGTTAATATTTTATAAATAAGTATATAGAATTATAAATTAAAATATTATTACTATTAGTTAATATAAATAATATATATCATTTATATTATTTTTAAATTTTATTAAATAGTGACCATTGGTCATTTTTGATAAATTTATATATTAAAACATATTAAAAATCTTTAATTTATGAAAATAGTATTTAATAAATAATTTTAAGTAAAATTTTATGTAACTGACCATTGTTCAAGAGTAGTAAATATTAATAAAAGTGACCATTTCTTATTAATTTATTAATTGAATTATTAAAATTAGAAAATTAAATTATATTTTATTAAAAAAATAAAAAAATATGAAAAAGAATTGGTTTTTTCAGATTTTGACTGAAAAAACCAATTCTTTTTGATTTTATTTAGAAAAGAATTGGTTTTATTCAGTCACCCCCTAAATATTTTACACTGATTTTAATCACAAGTATTGTAATAATTTTTTTTAAAAAAAACTTAATATATTTTAAACATTTAAAAATAATTATTAATTATATTATTTTTTAGTTTTACATACATACAGGCTATTAATAAGCTTATAGACTATTAGGTATGAAATATATTAAATTTATTTTAACAGTATTAAGTTTATCCATTAATGACTGTTTTAATTATAGTTAAATAAAATATATATTAGGTTTAGTTATTTTCAAAAAATATAGTTTTTTGATTTTGATTGAACTATAGATGAATATTAATTAATTTTATAGTATTTATGAAAATATTAAAAATTAATAAATTAATTATGTAGTGCTGCCCTAACAGTAAACTTAGTAGAAATAATATAATAATAAAAATTTATTTAATATATTATATTTACAGTTTTTTTATAAAAAAAATAAATTTTGACTGATTATTGAAATTTTTCTAAATTCTAATTATTTATGTAAACTTTAAAAAATTTACAATGATATAGAAAAAATATATATGTATTTATAATTAATTGGATGGTTTAAAGCAAATTGATTAATATATTTATATATATATAAAATTATTACATATATTTAATATTTTGATTTAAAATTATTACAGTTTTTTTTATGATATTATTATTAGAAAAAATTTGGTCACTATTTAGACCATTCAATATAATTTTTTTTAAATTTTTAGTTTGAATATCAACATAATTATAATATAATTTATTTAAATTAAAATTATTATTCCTCTATATATATTAAAGCAAATTTTAAAATTTTAGTATTTATACCTAAATATATAGATTAAATTCAATAGTAGTCTAATTAATAATTTAGAAAAATTATTATTAAATTAATAATTAAAAAAAAATTATTAATTAGATATGACGTAATCTGTTTTTTTTATAAATATTTTTAAACAATTGTAAATATAAAATAATATATTTACTATATTAATAGTATTTAATTTATATAAGTCCGAAAATTTCTAGCTGTAACTTTAATATTAATTACTATTTAATTACAGTATAATTAATCACAGTTTTTATTTAGTATTTATATTTATTATTGTTATACAGTATAATATGTTAAATAATTATATAATAAAAAATAGGTTTTAATTTCAACAACACAATTTTTAGTAAGTTTATTAAAAAATAAAAATTATAACTATATATACGTGGCGATGCATTATCCTAAAATTAATATTTATAAAGTTTAAATAAAAAATAAAAAATAAAATAATAGCTTAATTTACAGTTTTAAATAAGTAAAAATAACTAAATTACTAATAACTTGGTAAATAAATAAATAAATTAATTTATATTTTTAAAATACAAATTTAGAAAACTAAGATTTTTTATATATATTTTTTTTATATATTTTATATATAAAATGAATCATATTTTAATTTATATATATATTTAAAATTAATCGAACTAACCACTAGTTTAATCGAACTTATTTAAGTATTAGATTAAAAGTAAAAAATTATTATTATTATTATTTTGATAAAAATAAAATAAAATTCATCTTGCTGAAAACATCTAAAAATTAATATTAATAAAATTTATATAATATAAAAAATAAAATATTATCTTATTTTACAGTTTTACATAACTAAAAATAACTAATTACTATCATTTACATATTATTTTTATTTAATTTTATTGTATTTATAAAAATATTAAAATTATAAATTAATTAATTACAATTTACAAATTTTAACAAAAAATAATTTTTTAAATATAATTAGAATTTAAAAATTACTAATTAATGTTTATTATATAAAACTAAATATAAAATGTTATTTTAATTGTGAAAAATTTTATAGTTTATTTGAAAATTTTAATATATTATAATTCAAATGTTAATTTTTTTTAATATATATATTAAAGTAGTTTATTATTTTAATACATATTTGAAAAAATAGAAATCGGTTATAACAATCCTAATTATTAATTTATTAATAAAATATTAATAGTTATAAATTAATTAAAATGTTTAGTTTACTGTTTGTTTGTTTTTTAAATACAATATCAACTATCAGTTAATATAGATCCATATATTAAAGTATTATAATTAAATTTACTACAGTTTAAATAAATAATTAAATATATAAAACATTTAATATATAATTAATTTTTTTCGATAATTGAATTTATTAAAATAGAATATTGTTTTTTTTAAATAATTAAATTAAAAAAAAAATTTTAAAATTTTTTTGTTTTGACTATCATTTTATTCAATCGCCACAAAACAAACAAAGTTATTGACCGCCAAAATTATACCGAATACCGCCATCAATATACAGATTGGCACCGGTTATAAAACTGGCCGATCGGGAGGCCAACCAAACAACTCCGTCGGCTATATCCCGGGGCTGACCAATACGTTTGAGTAATGTACGTGAAATTGCATGCTTTATCATCTGATCTTTTAATGGATCATCGGATTTAAGTGATGTATTGATAACACCTGGACTATAGATATTTAGGGGGTATATATATATAAATAATTTTTTAATTTTTAAATTATTATATATATTAATTACTTGATTGTATTGACCCGTATATTGGGTCCCAATTCAAGTGCCAACACACGGGTCATCATATCTATGCCAGCTTTAGCTACATTGTAGGCTAGATTTGTTTTTAACTATATATATTTATATATAATATACATAATTAAGTAAATAAAAATAATAATAATTAAGTAAATAATAATAATAATTATGTAAATAATAATAATAATTATGTAAATAATAATAATAATAATTAAGTAAATAATAATAATAATTAAAATATAATTTTTTTCATATAATTAAAATATTAATATTAATTATATATATATATATACTGTATATACTGTATATATTACTGTTAATTGTAATCCTAAAATATTTACATACATGTATAAATATGATTACAAAATAATATTACAAAATTTTTTAATTTATAATTACCGGAACTGTCGACACAAAACTAGATATACTGATAATATTGCCGTTAGTTTTGTTCAAATAGGGAACCGATAGATGACTGAGCTCTACATACGGACGCAGATTAACACTCAATACCTTATCAAATACTGGCATAAATTGTTTATCGGTAACGCTGGCCATCAACGATATGCCGGCATTGTTGACCAATACATCTAACTGTCCATAGGTTTCAATTGTCTTATTCAATAGTGATTGCAATTGTGTACTATTGGTTAGATCAGCCAAAACTTCAAGTGGCTATAAATATTATATACAGGTATATATATATAATATATATACAGTATATATACAGTATATATACAGTATATATACAGTATATATACAGTATATATACAGTATATATACAGTATATATATATTGTTTAATACAAAAATACAAAAAAATATTGATAATAATGGTAATTTAATAATTAATAATTAATAATAATTAGATATTAATTAATTATTTTATTAGTAAATTATTATTTTATTAGTAAATTATTATTTTATTAGTAAATTATTATTTTATTAGTAAATTATTATTTTATTAGTAAATTATTATTTTATTAGTAAATTATTATTTTATTATTTCAAGTTTTGATTATTTTGATTATTATTTTAGTCATACCTTTAGCTTATTTGGTGATAACTGTTGACAATCATTGGCCACACTCTGGATATCATTCAAATGTCTACCAGTGATGACTACATGAGCGCCCAATTGGGCAAACAGTTTGGCAATACCGGCGCCCATACCACTACTCGAACCGGTAATCAATACTACTTTTCCCGTAAAATTTCGTGAATCATCTAATTGTTTATTATTATTATCATTATTTTCACAATCAGCCAAAATGCTTGCATTAACTATAGCTATAGTTATTATAATAATAATATTTAATAATATTAACTTCATTTTTAGTTTTTAATTATTTGATTTAATTGATTAGACTTAAGACTAAAATAATAATTTAATAAAATATTTATTTATTTTTTAAAAAAAAGTTTTTTAGTTTAGTTTAGAAACTTAAAACTTAAAATATGTTTTATCAATTTTTTTATATAATTAAATTAATTTTAGTAAAAAATGATTACTTAATAATTTATAATTTTTAAAAAAATTGTTTAGCAATATAACTATTTAGTATATTTTTTTTAGTCGTTAGTAATAATATAACTATTAAACTAAACATATGTGTTATTTAATTATTTATTATATATATATATTAATACAAAATTAATACAAAACATATTGTAATCATAGTATCAATCAATTTGCAAAATAAATAAATGTTTCTAAGTTTTAAAATCTAAACTAAAATTTATTTATAAATATATATCAAAATTATTTTTATTATAATTTATTATAATTTTTTTAAATCTATTTTTTAACATAGTTTATATTATTTTTATCAAAATAAAAAAAATTGAAAATTAATAAATTAAATAGATATAATAAAATTATTTAATTAAACTACAACAACAAAAACAATATATTTATAAATTATAACATCATAACAATATAATTATCATTTTTTTTATAAATAATTAAAATTATTTTGTATTTGCAATAAATAAATTGCAATTTATTCAACAACAAAAAATATTATGAAATTATTATAAACAACAACAAAAATAAAAATGATAAAATTGAAAAAATAATTATTTATTTAATTATTATTATTATTAAAATAAACCGCCAATATTATAGACAATACCGCCGTCGACGACCAGATTGGCACCGGTTATAAAACTGGCCGATCGGGAGGCCAACCAAACACAAGCATCGGCCACATCCTCGGGTCGACCGATACGTTTCATCGGTGTCTTAGAGCTTATGTATTTCATTAGTTCATCAATAATTTTGCGATCACCTTGATGAAATGGTGTATCAATATAACCAGGGCTAATATATTGATAAATAAATAAATATATATATATATATATAAATATTTTATATATAAATAAATAAATATTTTATATATAAATAAATAAATATTTTATATATAAATAAATAAATATTTTATATATAAATAAATAAATATTTTATATATAAATAAATAAATATTTTATATATAAATAAATAAATATTTTATATATAAATAAATAAATATTTTATATATAAATAAATAAATATTTTATATATAAATAAATAAATATTTTATATATAAATAAATAAATATTTTATATATAAATAAATAAATATTTTATATATAAATAAATAAATATTTTATATATAAATAAATAAATATTTTATATATAAATAAATAAATATTTTATATATAAATAAATAAATATTTTATATATAAATAAATAAATATTTTATATATAAATCTATTTATTAAAAAAATATTAATTACTTGATTGTATTGACCCGTATATTGGGTCCCAATTCAAGTGCCAATACCCGACCCATCATATCGATGGCCGCTTTGGACACTGAATAGGCTAAAACACCTTTAGTCTGTATATATCAATATATATATAACAATATTAAAAAAATATTATTAATTAAAATAATGTATAGTTTCTGGAAAAAAACCTACCGGTGCTATAGCCGATACACTAGATATGCTGATAATAGTGCCGTTAGTTTTGTTCAAATATGGTACCGATAGATGACTTAGTTCGACATACGGACGCAAATTAACGGCCATTAGTTTGTCAAATACGGGCATAAATTGTTTGTCGGTAACTGCGGCTCCGGCACCCATACCGGCGTTGTTGACCAATACATCCAACTGGCCGTACGTTTTGATTGTCTGATCCAATAGTGACTGCAATTCAGTACTATTGCTAACATCGGCCTTAACTTGCAATGGCTATACATATAATACAATAATATTATTGTTATTATTATTATTAAATATATAATAATTTGTTGTTATTATTATTAAATATATAATAAGTTAATGTCTATACATATATACAGTATATATATAGTAGAAATATAATATTAATATTAAATAAAATAATTTTATTTTTATTATTATTATTAGTCAAACCTTTAGTTTTTTCGGTGATAACTGTTGGCATTCATTGGCCACTAATTGGATTTCAGTTTGATTTCTACCAGTGATGACAACATTGGCACCCAATTGGGCAAACAGTTTGGCAATACCGGCACCGATACCACTACTCGAACCGGTAGTCAATACAACTTTTCCGGTAAAATTTCTTGGATCATCCAATTGATTGTATTGTTTATTAGCATTATCTAAATTAAACAAAATGTTTGCATTAGCTATTGCTAGAAATAATGGGAACAAATTAATAATAATAAACAATAAATTCATTTTTTTAATTTGATTTTCTTAAACAATATACTGTATATCAATATATATAAAAATATATAACTATTTTATTTTTGTAAACTATCTAATATAAAATATATATATATACTATTTTGTTATCTTTTTTTCAATATTAACTTAAATTAAATAAGTGCACTTAAACTAAATTTCAACCTTAAAATTTAAATGTCAAGTATAAATTGAATGCATTATATTATTATTATTATTATTATTATTATTATTATTATTATTATTATTGATAATTTTTTTTTGTTAGATTATTAAAGTATTGCATTAAAATTATAGATATAATATTAATATATTTATTAATAAATAAAAATAACCTCAACGTACTTATAACGATAATGTAATTATTAATATAGTTTTATTATCAACAAATGTATGACAATTAATTGTTTATATATATATACTGTATATATATTATTTCTATAACTTTGTTTGAAAAACGTTTTAATTATTTTTTTACTTTTATCAACTAGTTAAATTGAAATAATAAATAAAAAACTGTAATTATTATAATACTTTCAAAAATTTTTAGTTAAAATAAATTTTTATAATAGCAATTACTATTCATACAATATAAATGTTATTATTTTTTATATATACTGTTTAATATATTATTTATATTACAAAAAACATTAATAATGTTTATTCATATATATTGTTAAGTAACTTATAATTAAAACAAAAAAAATAGTTTATCATTAACATATAACAAATTAAATTATTGATATCATATTATAGTACTAGAGTTTAGTTTTTTTATTATTATTAAAACTTATTAATTAGAAAATAAATAATAAAAATCTTATTTAGTATTTATTTTTGAATTTATAATAAATTTTATTGAATTTTATTAACATAAATAAACTAATTAATTCTGTATATTAAAGGTTTAAATTTTTAATTAACAAAAAATTGATAAGCCATTTTCTAAAATAATAAATATTCAAAATTTATTTAAAAAATTATAATATAAAATAATAAAGTTTATAATTACAGTTTTTCAACAAAAACAAAAATATTAAATATTAATTAACATTAATTTAATTGTGTTATTAACTAATATATAATTTCATATTTTTTTTTATTGTTTAAAGTTATATATATTGTAGTATTCATTAATAAACTGATTTTTTTATTATTATAATTGTTTATTAAATAAACAAAAAAAATTATTATTTCTGATATAATATACTGTTTAAAAAAAGTATGTAGATTAGTTTATTTATTTTGTAAAATAAACTAAAAAATTATATATATAAATTTTTTGATTATCTAAAAAAAGTTATCAAATATTCGTATTATTAAAAAATTGTAAATACTGTAATTATTATTATATTTTTTAACAAATTGTAGTTAAAATAAATAAATTACTTTTATAATAGCAATTGATAATCTTAAAATATATTTTTTATATATATACTGTACAATATATGATTATAAAATCAATAATAATATTTATTTATACTTACTTTAATAATATATATATTGTTAAATAAATTATAATTAAGACAAAATAATAATTTATTAATAACCAAATTTAATACAAAATAGTTTAACTAAATATAAATTACATATAAAAATTACAATTAATTTTTATTCTGTATATTATAATTATATTAATTATTATTTATTTGTAGTAGTTTAACTAAAAAAATAACTTAAAAATAAATTTAAAATCTATTAATACCACCAAAATTATAGGCAACCCCTCCATCGATGACCAGATTAATACCGGTTATAAAACTGGCCGATCGGGAGGCCAACCAAACAACACCGTCAGCTATATCCAGGGGTTGACCCAAACGGTGTAGTGGTGTACGTGAAATCACCAGTTTTTTAAATTCATCCACTATTTTGGGATCGCCCGACAAAATTGGTGTATCAATTAAACCTGGACTACATATATATTGAAATATAAGATATTTTAATTTTTTTAAAAAATTAATTAAATTAATTAAAATTAAAGTTAAATATTTAGTTTTGTTTTGTTTTAACTTATATTACTTGATAGTATTGACCCGTATATTGGGTCCCAATTCAAGTGCCAACACACGGGTCATCATATCTATAGCCGTTTTGGACACACTATAGGATAGATTTGACTTTAACTATATATATATATTATATATATAAAACATAGATATAAAAATATGAATTAATGTTATCTGAATATATGATATTTATAGTTATAAATTATTAACATAACCTACCGGTACTGTTGACGCTATACTAGATATGCTGATAATAGTGCCGTTAGTTTTGTTCAAATAGGGAACCGATAGATGACTGAGCTCTACATACGGACGCAGATTAACACTCAGTATTTTGTCAAATACTGACATAAACTTGTCATCAGTAATGTTAGCACCGGTACCAATGCCGGCGTTGTTGACCAACACATCCAAACGGCCGTACCGTTTGATTGTCTGATCCAATAGTGACTGCAATTCAGTACTATTGCTAACATCGGCCCTAACTTGTAATGGCTATACATATAATAAATTATTTTTTTTTATTATTAATAACTTTATTATTATTATTATTAATATAAGCATACCTTTAGTTTTTTTTGGTGATAACTGTTGACATTCATTGGCCACTAATTGGATTTCAGTTTGATTTCGACCAGTGATGACAACATTGGCACCCAATCGGGCAAACAGTTTGGCAATACCGGCACCGATACCACTACTCGAACCGGTAGTCAATACAACTTTTCCCGTAAAATTTCGCGAATCATTCAAAACATTATTATTATTTTTATTAACATTATCTAAATTGAACAATATGTTTGCATTAGCTAATGTTAAAAATAAAACAAAATAACTTATAAATAATAAGTTCATTATTATAATATTTTTTTGATTAATTTTTTGTTGATTTAATTATTTTAAACAATAATTTAAAAAAATACAATTATTATATTTTAGTAAATTACTTATTATTATATACTATGATATTTTATTATAAATTAAGATTATTAAGTGTATAATAGATTAAATAAAATAAATTATAAATGTCAAGTATATATTGTTATTAAATTATTGTGTTATTATCAAAAATATTTAAAAAAATAAATTTATTATATTGTTGTTGTTATTATTGATAAATAATTATATCTTAATTTTTATTTATTGTACTAAAATTGAACTTAGATTAGAGTTATACTAATATTATATGAAATAATTAATTTATTAATTAATAAATTTAATAATAATTGTAATAATAATTTATTTCGATATTAAGATTAAAACTAAATATACTACTATATTTAATTATATTAAATAATAAATATAAAAAAAATTAATATTGTGTTTAGTTATTCAATAACTGTAATTAATATAATAGTTTAAAAAACAATTATATTTAATTATTTTAATATTTTATTTTTAGTGTGTTTCGAGCGACTTTATTTTATTTAATTATTTTTGTTTAAACTATTAAAAGTCAAAAAAAATTAATAATAAAAATAAATAAAAATAAATTATCCATTAAATAATTAGATATTAATACTATTACTAATTAGACATTATAAAACATTAAAGTATTGACCAATTAACTAATTAAAACTTAAAATTAAACTTAAATTATTTTTAAAAAATAATATAAAATCATTAATTATGTATTACTATTAGATTGTCAGTGTTATTGGCTATAATATTAATTATAAAAATTTATTAAAAATTATAAATAAAAAATTAAATTTTATATTTACAGTTTATTTAATACAATAAAAAATATATTTTTAAATAATATTTTTTTAAAAATTATTAATAGAGTGAAGCTAATTTCAATTGTGTTTCAACAAATTTTTAATAATTTAATAAAATAATTTAAATCCTATCACAACAATAATAAATTTATTACAGTTTCATTTACAATAATTATTTCAATTTTATAAGTAAATATAATTATAGTTTTTCAAATTATATATTTATTTGTTAATAATTATTATTTTATTTATCTAATATAATAAAATAAATTTAATCTGTAAATTGTTACTATTATACAGTAAAAGTATAAAACAAATAATATAAAGACTATTTAAAAAATTAACATATTTTTAGTTATGAAATATCAAATGCTATTTTGATTATATATTATTGTTTTAAATTGTTAAACTAAATTTTTTTTAAATAAATAAAAAAATCAAAAATAAAGTTATAATAACTATTATAAATAAAATCAAAAATATATCAATAGTTTTAATCAATAAAAAAAATATAATAATTAATCTCAAATCATTTAAATCAATCAAATAAAATAATTTAAAAAATAATTAATTAATTAAATAAACCGCCAAAACTATAGATAACACCGCCATCGATGACCAGATTTGTACCGGTTATAAAACTGGCCGATCGGGAGGCCAACCAAACAACACCCCGGGCTATATCCAGGGGTTGACCGATACGATGGAGTGGTGTATGCGAGACAATCAGTTTTTTGAACTGATCTATAACTATAGGATCACCCGATATAATTGGTGTATCAATTAGACCTGGACTATATCAATAATAAAAAAATTTAATTAATATGTAAATAAAATTAAAATTAAAAAATTAATAATTAAAAATCTCAAATTACTTAATAGTATTGACCCGTATATTGGGTCCCAATTCAAGTGCCAACACACGTGTCATCATATCTATAGCCGATTTGGACACACAATAGGGTAGATTTGATTTCATCTATATATATATAATTTATAAATAATAATAATAATAACTAAAATCTATTAACAAATTAATTATTTTGTTTATACTGTATATATATATATATATATGATTACAGTATACTATTGTTATAAAAAAAATAAAACTTACCGGAACTGTTGACACTATACTAGATATGCTGATAATAGTGCCGTTAGTTTTGTTCAAATAGGGAACCGATAGATGACTGAGCTCTACATACGGTCGGAGATTAACACTCAATACTCTATCAAATACTGACATAAACTTGTCATCAGTAATGTTAACAGCATTACTAATACCGGCGTTATTGACCAACACATCCAACTGGCCGTACGTTTTGATTGTCTGATCCAATATTGACTGCAATTCAGTACTATTGCTAACATCGGCCCTAACTTGTAATGGCTATACATATAATACAATATTTTTATTTATTAATAAGTTTATTATTAATATAAGTAAACCTTTAGTTTTTTAGGTGACAACTGTTGGCATTCATTGGCCACTAATTGGATTTCAGTTTGATTTCTACCAGTGATGACAACATTGGCACCCAATTGGGCAAACAGTTTGGCAATACCGGCACCGATACCACTACTCGAACCGGTAGTCAATACAACTTTTCCCGAAAAATTTTGCGGATTATTATTATTATCTAAATTAAACAAAATGTTTGCATTGACTATAGCTATAAATATAACCAAAAAACTTATAATTAGTAAATATTTCATTTTTTAAATAATTTTAATATTAATTATTTTTTGTTTGAAACAATTATATGTTTTTATTATTTTATAAAAAAATCTAACATAACTTGAGTTTATATACAATAGTGATAATATTTTTTTAGTGCAATTTATCAATATTAATTATTTTTTAATAAGTTTATTCAATAGATTTTTTAAATATAATGATAAAATTTTCTAAATGTCAAGTAATATAATGTTATTTTTAAACAACTAATACTATTGCAATTTATTATTATTGTTTAGCAATAATATATTTACTATAAAATACGTTTAAAAAACAATTTATATAAAATATTACTGATTATATATTATCACTATTTTTGTGATTTATATCAACCAACAAAAAATTAATAATAATAATAAAAATAATATAATTTTACAATTAATTGTATTTATAAACATATAATCAATAATAAAAGTAAATAAATTATTAATAATTGTTGTGTTTTATTATAAACATAAGTAAACTAGTTAATTTTATCAATTAAAATTAATTAATATATTAATTAGTTAAAAAAAATTTGCTCCATGACAAGACTATTTAAAAAAATAACAAAAAATTAATAAAATTTCAAATATGAAAATGTAGAGATTTACAGTTTTTATAATTATATAAAAATAATTGTATACTAAAAATAACATAAATTGTAATTATATTATATATACAAATATATAAAATATACAAATATATAAAATATTTTAATTAATTAATAATGATAAGTTAGAAAAAAATTATAGTTATTAGAAAAATGTATTGCAAAATTTTAAAAAAAAAATATATTAATTGAATTATTATACGTTTTGATAAATTTATAATAACTATTTAAATAATATTTACAGGCTGGCTCATCAGGAGTTATTTTCAAAATACACCACTTATTTCAAAAACTACTAATTATATTTTATTTTAACAAAAAATATTATAAAATATGATAAATGGGATTACATATTTTTATAAAAAAAATTTTTAAAATGGCCGCCTTTAATTGCAATTAAATGGCAAAGTCAGGTGTAAAAATAGTCGAAATTGTCCTTATTTATTATATTTTGACTATCACGCGACCGCTACATCCAGAACCTGTCGCCATATGATGTGCTATTAGTGACAAAGAAATAATTGGGCCTATATTTTTAAGAGAAATTTGTGATATCAGAGATCTACAGGACTTAAATCATTGTGCAGGACATAGGGTCTGCTGAAGATAAAAAGATTGCTTGATTGTTACTGGTTTAAACAAGATGGTTCACGACCTTACAGAACACAAGATATCTTTGAACAACTTAGAGAGTGTTTTGGTGATCGGATTATAGGTTTGGATGTGCCCAAGAAGACTGGCGGCTGAAATGATTTTACCTCCATATTTACCCGATTTCAACACCTGTGATTATTTTTTTGGGTTTATTTTAAGGATATGGTTTACATATCCAACCCTCAATCTATTGAAGAATTCACAAAAATGATTGAAAGTGAGATACGGGCCATACAGCAATATATGAAAGTACGGGTAACATCCAATTTTGTACACCCGACTTTGCCATTTAATTGCAATTAATGGCGGCCATTTTGAAAATTTATCTAATTAAAATATGTAATCCCATTTATCATATTTTATAATATTTTTTGTTAAAATAAAATATAATTAGTAGTTTTTGAAATAAGTGGTGTATTTTGAAAATAACTCCTGATGAGCCACCGTGTATTAATTTTAACTATTAATTTATTAAAGTATATTTATGATAATTTGTATTATTAAAAAATCGTATAAATTTTCTAGTGATTTACACATGAGATAATAATGTAATATTATTATAGTTAGTAATATTAAATAAAATGAAAATAAAATAAAATACAACATTTATGATCTAAAAATTATTTAATTATTAAAAAAAATATATTAAATTATTACTTTATAATTTTAAAAAAAACTGTAACTATTATAACATTGTATAATTAGTTTTAATATATAAAAATAATATTTAAATAAATAGCAAAGAGCTCTGAACCAATTTTTTTTTATAAATATATGATTCAATAAACTATTAAATTATTTTTAAAAATTAATTTAAAATATTAAATATTAAATTCAAAATCTTTTTTAATTTTTTGACAAAAATAAAAACTGTTAGTCTATTAAAAAAAATAAGTAAATAATTTTTTTTATTTCAAAAAGTTAATATTCATATTTAACAACTTTATATAAAAAAAAATTAAAATACACTTAATTATTATTAATATTTATTTTTATTGTAATTTATTATATACCGCCAAAATTATAGATAATACCGCCATCGATGACCAGATTAGTACCGGTTATAAAACTGGCCGATCGGGAGGCCAACCAAACAACACCTTCGGCTATATCCAGGGGTTGACCGATACGATGGAGTGGTGTCCGCGAGATAATCATTTTTTTCAATTGATCAATAATTTTGGGATCACCCGACATAATTGGTGTATCAATTGAACCTGGACTATATATATATATATATATATTTATATTTAATATGTAAATTATATATATATATTAAGTTATAATTTAATTTAATTTAGTTTTATTAAATAATAATAATTACTTAATAGTATTGACCCGTATATTGGGTCCCAATTCAAGTGCCAACACACGGGTCATCATATCTATAGCCGATTTGGACACACAATAGGGTAAACTTGATTTTAACTACAAAAAAAGTAATACTATTATAAACTCAATTTTAAATTAATCTTATTGTTAGTAAACTAATATATTATTTAAATCTATGATAACCTATATACTGTATATATATAGTTATAATTTTAACTTTTTAAAACATACCGGTACTGTTGACGCTATACTAGATATGCTGATAATAGTGCCGTTAGTTTTGTTCAAATAGGGAACCGATAGATGACTGAGCTCTACATACGGACGCAGATTAACACTCAGTATTTTGTCAAATACTGACATAAACTTGTCATCAGTAATGTTAACACCGATACCAATACCGGCGTTATTGACCAACACATCCAACTGGCCGTACGTTTTGATTGTCTGATCCAATAGTGACTGTAATTCAGTACTTTTGCTAACATCGGCCCTGACTTGTAATGGCTATACATATAATGTAATTATTATTTTATTAATGTTTATTATTATTAATATAAGCAAACCTTTAATTTTTTTGGCGATAACTTTTCACATTCATTGGCCACTAATTGGATTTCAGTTTGATTTCGACCAGTGATGACAACATTGGCACCCAATCGGGCAAACAGTTTGGCAATACCGGCACCGATACCACTACTCGAACCGGTAGTCAATACAACTTTTCCGGAAAAATTTCGCGGATCATCCAATTGATTGTATTGTTTATTAGCATTATCTAAATTAAACAAAATGTTTGCATTGGCTATAGTTATAAATATAACCAAAAAACTTATAATTAATAAATTTTTCATTTTTTTTATAAAATAATATTAATATTAATTATTTTTTTTTTTGTTTGAAACAGTTATATGCTTATATTTTTGTTAACAATAAAAATGTAACTTAACTTGAGTTTATATACAAACATTGATTATAGTTTTTTTGTGCAATTTATCAACATATTCATTGAAATAGATTTTCAAATATAATTGATAAAAGTTTTTAAATGTCAAGTAATTGTAATTTTTTTTTTATTTTTTTCAAGTAATACTCTTTAGTATATCTTATAATAAGATTGTGATAAAAAAAATATAATGAGTTTAACAAACAATATATATATATATATATTAATATATTATTATTAAATTATAAGCTCAATATTAGTATATTATTAGTACGTTTTGATAAATTTTTTTTAAAAAAAAATATGCAATAATTTTTAGCTATAATTTAATTAAAACTTTTAATAATATATAAATAACAGCTAGCTTAGATAATAGTCTAATATAATTACTCGTCTACTAAAAAAATTATATTAATAACATTTATAATGCAAACAATTTTATTATTAAATATAAATATTAAATTTTTGTAACTTATATTTATTTTATTTTTTAAAAACTGTATTTATTATAACGCTGTAAAATTAAATTAGATATATTAAATAATATTTAAAGTTATAGTAACGAAAATAGCAAAAAAAGTTTACATATATATTTTTATTAAATATCAAATTAATAGTTATTTTTTAAAAAATAAATAAGTTTAATTTATATAAAATGTTAATATTAAATTAAAACTATTTGCATAATAAATATTTTTAGTCTACTCAAAAAAATAAGTAAATAAATATTTAATACAAAAAATGATTTTTTGTTGTTGTTTTATTATTATAAATTAAGCAAAAATTAACAATTAATTGTTTAATAAATTATTACAAAATATAATTTAATAACAAATTATTAATTTTAATTAACATATGTTAAATAATGAAAAAAAATATATTGAAAATTAAATATATATTAAAAAAAATAAAAAAAAAATAGTAATAATAAATATGTCATTTATTTTTACTAAAAATACATTTGTATTTTTTAAAAAAATTTATTTATTCAAAGTTTTAAAATTATAAAAACTTTACAATTAATAATAATATCTCAATTAATCTATTGTAAACCGCCGGCGTTATAGACTAGACCGCCATCGATGACCAGATTAGTACCGGTTATAAAACTGGCCGATCGGGAGGCCAACCAAACACAAGCTTCGGCTATATCCAGGGGTTGACCAATACGATGGAGTGGTGTCCGCGAGATAACCAGTTTTTTCAATTGATCCACTATTTTGGGATCGCCCGACAAAATTGGTGTATCAATTAAACCTGGACTGATATATAGATATATATATATATATATAAATAATAAAAATATATTCAATTAGTTATAATTTAATTGTTTTTTTAAATGAAAATTTCTATAATTACTTAATAGTATTGACCCGTATATTAGGTCCCAATTCAAGTGCTAACACACGGGTCATCATATCTATAGCCGATTTGGACACACTATAAGCTAAACCTGTCTTTACCTATATATATATATAATAGATTTAATTTAATAATAATAATACCAATTAAATAAATTGTTATTAACTATAAATGTTGTCTAAAAAAATTATTTTTACTAAACATACCGGCATTAGTGACGCTATACTAGATATGCTGATAATAGTGCCGTTAGTTTTGTTCAAATAGGGAACCGATAGATGACTGAGCTCTACATACGGTCGGAGATTAACACTCAATATTTTGTCAAATACTGACATAAACTTGTCGTCCGTAATGTTAATCGGATTACTAATACCGGCGTTATTGACCAACACATCTAACTGGCCATAGGTTTTGATTGTCTGATCCAATAATGACTGTAATTCAGTACTATTGCTAACATCGGCCTTAACTTGTAATGGCTATACATATAATAAATTATTATTTTTATTATTAATAAGTTTATTACTACTATTAATATAAGCAAACCTTTAGTTTTTTTGGCGATAACTTTTCACATTCATTGGCCACTAATTGGATTTCAGTTTGATTTCTACCAGTGATGACAACATTGGCACCCAATCGGGCAAACAGTTTGGCAATACCGGCACCGATACCACTACTCGAACCGGTAGTCAATACAACTTTTCCGGTAAAATTTTGCGAATCATTGAAAACATTATTATTATTATTATTATCTAAATTAAACAAAATGTTTGCATTGGCTATAGCTATAAATATAACCAAAAAACTAATTTTAAGAAAATACTTCATAATTTAAAAAAAAAATAATTTAACTTAAATACTGTTTATTTATGTTTTTTTTTTAAAAATAGTTATATGTTTTAATTTTTAAAATTCAACTAAACTTAATGTTTTTATATACAATATTGATTATATAGTTTTATTTTAGTGCATTTTAGTCCACTTTATCAATATAATTTTTTATTATTATTAATTAATTAAGTTTTAGTGCACTTTATATCACAATATAATTTTTTTACAAGTATATTCAAAAATAGATAGATATATATATTAAATATATTACACAATTAATATACAATAGATATATATATATACTTTATATTTAGTGTAATTGTTATATAAAACAAGTATTAAATTAATAATATTTATAAAGTTTGAAAAGTTTTTTAATCTTAATAATTTTTTTTTATAATTTTAAATAACTTATAATAATATAATTTTTATTTTTGGATTTACAGTTGTTTATTTTTAATTTTAATAAAATAATATTTTATTCAACAATGAACTATAAATATATATTTTTTAAATAATTATATTATATTAAAACTGCAATAAATATTAGTTATCAATAAAATAATTTATTTATTAATAAAAACAAAAAATAATAATTAATATATTATTTATTATAATATATATATATATAGTTAAATATATTAGAAATATTAGTAATAAAATTAATTTTTTTTAAATAAAACTACATATCATACAATAGTTTTATAATTAATTATAATTAATAATAGATTATTTTATTTATAACTAATATTTATTGCAGTTTTAATAAAACATAATTATTAAAAAAATATATTTATAGTTCATTGTTGAATAAAATATTATTTTATTAAAATTAAAAAATCTCAATTATGATATTATTATTATTATTATAATCATAATAAACCACCAAAATTATAGACTAGACCGCCATCGATGACCAGATTAGTACCGGTTATAAAACTGGCCGATCGGGAGGCCAACCAAACACAAGCTTCGGCTATATCCAGGGGTCGACCGACACGACCGAGTGGTGTATGCGAGACAATCAGTTTTTTCAATTGATCTGTTATTTTCGGATCGCCCGATATATTTGATGTATCAATTAAACCTGGACTATATATATATATATATATATATATATATATATATATTAATATAAATATATTAAAATATAATTTATATTTATTACTAGTAAATAGCTATACTGTATATTACTATAGTATAAGATTTTTAATTTGATTTTTAATTTATTTGATTTATAAAAATCTCAAATTACTTAATAGTATTGACCCGTATATTGGGTCCCAATTCCAGTGCCAATACACGGGTCATCATATCTATAGCCGATTTGGACACACAATAGGCTAAACTTGTTTTTATCTATAATATAAAATAAAATAAATAATATAATTAAAAATTAGTTATTACTAATAGTCAATAAATTAATTTTATATGAATATATAGTTATACTGTAAATTATAATCATAACCTACCGGTACTGTTGACGCTAAACTAGATATACTGATAATAGTGCCGTTAGTTTTGTTCAAATAGGGAACCGATAGATGACTGAGCTCTACATACGGACGCAGATTAACACTCAATAGTCTATCAAATACTGACATAAACTTGTCATCAGTAATGTTAGCTCCGTTACCAATACCGGCGTTATTGACCAACACATCCAACTGGCCGTACGTTTTGATTGTCTGATCCAATAGTGACTGCAATTCAGTACTATTGCTAACATCGGCCCTAACTTGTAATGGCTATACATATAATAAATTATTATTTTTTTATTAATAAGTTTATTATTATTATTAATATAAGCAAACCTTTAATTTTTTTGGTGATAACTTTTCACATTCATTGGCCACTAATTGGATTTCAGTTTGATTTCGACCAGTGATGACAACATTGGCACCCAATCGGGCAAACAGTTTGGCAATACCGGCACCGATACCACTACTCGAACCGGTAGTTAATACAACTTTTCCGGTAAAATTTCGCGGATCATTATTATTATCTAAATTAAACAAAATGTTTGCATTGACTATAGCTATAAATAAACATATAAAACAAATACAAAATAAATATTTCATTTTATTTATTATATAATTTTAATTATTTATTTATTGTTGTTTAAAAAAACTATAGAAAATCTATATCTATTGTTTAACATTAAAAAAATACTTTAATACTTATATACAATTTTATAATGTACTTTATCAATTGTTATTTTTATTGCTAATTATCAATATATTTATTTTTATTTGATTAAGTATTTTTCTTAATAGGTTTGTAATATAATTGATAAAAATTTGTAAAATGTAATGTAATATAAATATTATTTTTTTTATAGTAATACTAAATTGTTGATTACTGTATTAGTTGAGTATATAATATATTGAGATAATTATATTTACTAAACAAACAAATAATAGAAAATAAAATTAATTATTAGATTATGTTTTTTAGATAATTTTAAATATGATTTTTATTAAAATTATATTTTAAATCACATTTATATAGTTTTTTTTAAATTTAAAAAGTTTGTATTTTTTATTTTATAAATAAATTAAAATTAATTAAGTAAACCTCAAAAGTTTTTTTTATTAACTAAAATTTAATAATTATATTTGTTTAATTTGAATATATGAACTATTTATAATTAATAACAAAAATTTATAATTTATTTAAAGCATTGATTTTTTATTTAATAAAAAACTAAATAATAATATAATATTTTTAGTTTAGATTATTTTGTATTATAAATTTTATAAACAATGATGATGAAATAATATTGTTACAGTATTATAGATGATTAATAAAAGAAAAATAATATAGTTAAACATGAAGCTTATATTCAATAGTAATTTATAAAATTTTGTTTTAATAATAAAATATTTAATTAAATTAATTATAATTTCAATAGCATTAGACAGCAATAGAAAACATTATTTTACATAAATTTATTGTAATTAATTATGTAAATAATTTGTAAGTTTGTTTATATTGTAAATTATACAACTAAAAAAAATAATTAACAAATAAAAACTGTAAAAATTTTTATAATTTTTATAATTAAAATTTATTTAAAAACTAAAATTATTAAAAATAGTTGTGAATGACATACAGGAAACTTTTATTTGTTTATAAAATGTTTTACTATTAATAGTAATAATAATAATAATTTTTAACTTTTTTAAAAAATATTTTATTTTTTTCTTGACAACAACATTAGTTTTTTATAGAAATTTTATTTTAAAATAAATTATTAATAATATAGTAATAATAAAATGTTATTGACTATAAATAAAAGGTATATAAATTTATATATAATTAATTAAATAATTTTTCCTCAAAAATTATTTTAATATAGTTATGATTTATTATTTTCTATCAAAAATAGACTAATAATATTATTTATTAATATGAAATAAAAACTGTAAAACTTTTTTGTAAAATTACATTAAAATTATATTTAATAATTATAATTAATACTTAAAGAATACGGGCGTGAATTACGATATTTTATTTTCTCATAAATTAAAATTTATTTTTAGATAAATATTAACAGAATATTAAGTATAAAAATTCAAATTGTTGTAATTAATTATTTAAATAATTTGTAAGTTTGTTTATTTTTCTAAATTATACTTAAAATAATTTTTTAGCAAATAAAAACTGTAAAATTTTTTAAATATTTATGATTAAAATTTATTTGAAAATTATAATTATTAAAAATAGTAAACAAAAACAATGAATAAAATTTTATTTGTTTATACAATGTTTTACTATAATTATTATTATTTTTTTTAAATATTAAACATTTTAAAATAAATTATTAATAATACAGAAATAAGATTTTTTTTGTAATTAACTATAAATAAAACTATTTATATAAAAAATATAATGTTATATAAATTTATATGCAATTAATTAAATGATTTTTTCCCTAAAAATTTTTTTTAATTTAGTTATGGTTTGATTATTTTCTATCAAAAATAGTAACTAATAATAGTATTTACTAATAAAATAAAACTGTAAAACTATTTTGAAAATTATATTAAAATTATATTTAATAATTATAATAATTATTTAAAGCAAGCAGACGAAATGGAGATTAAATTAAAATTAAATTTATTTTTATATAAAATTTAGTTATAATTTTTTCATAATAATTTTAATTACTATTTAATAAATAATGGATATTATAAATAAATTATATAATCAAAAAATTTAATATCATATTATATTTTTGTTTGTTTTTTTTCATAATAATTTTATACATTTATTTAATAATATATTGACTTTTTTATTAATTAAAAAAAAATCTGTAAATATTTAAATTATTTATTTTTTACATTTAATATTGCAATTGATTTTTTTTTAAAAATATTTTAGATGAAGTAATGCTTATTTGTTTAATTAATTAAATATTATTTTTTTTATTTATATACCGCCGGCATTCAGAAACAGTCCGCCATCGATGACCAGTTGGGCACCGGTTATAAAACTGGCCGATCGGGAGGCCAACCAAACACAAGCATCGGCTATATCCTGTGTATCGCCCATACGTTTCAATGGTGTACGCGATATGACTAACCGTTTCATTGCTTCCCAATATATAGGATCCACACCCGACTGTATATTAGTCGGTATTAATCCCGGTATTAAAAAAATAATAATTAATTATTAAAAAAATAATAATTATTAAAAAAATAATAATTATTAAAAAAATAATAATTATTAAAAAAATAATAATTATTAAAAAAATAATAATTATTAAAAAATAATAATTATTAAAAAAATAATAATTAATTTATAAAAAATAATAATTATTAAAAAATAATAATTATTAAAAAAATAATAATTATTAAAAAAATAATAATTATTAAAAAAATAATAATTATTAAAAAATAATAATTATTAAAAAAATAATAATTAATTTATAAAAAATAATAATTATTAAAAAATAATAATTATTAAAAAAATAATAATTATTAAAAAAATAATAATTATTAAAAAAATAATAATTAATTTATAAAAAATATTAATTACTTGACTGTATTGACCCGTATATTAGGTCCCAATTCAAGTGCCAACACACGGGTTATCATATCTATAACCGATTTGGATACTACTACTACTACTACTACAATAGTGTACTATTGTTAGATTAAAAATTTTTATAGTTTTTTTCAAGTAGTTTAATTAAACTTTTATCTTATAATTAACTGTATAATAAGTTAATAATAAATTGTTTTGTTTACTATACTTTCTCTAAATAATAATTTTTTTATTCAGTTTTTTAATTTATTTTATTTTAAATATAAATATTAATAATAAAATATATAATACACTATATATTGTATATATATAAATATAAAAATATATTTTTCAGTTTTATATTTATTTATTTTAAAAAAATATCTTATTAAAAATTTTACTATTAAAATATTAAGTAATAATAATAACATAACTAATACTACTTTAAGTCAAAAAAAAATTTTAAAATAAATAGTAAATTAAAACTTTTTTAATTAAATTATTAAATTATTTATATTTATATATATATAGTATTATATATCAATTACATATATTTTTCTACTAATGCATTATGCATTTGATTGACAAAAATTATAATTTATTAAAAATAAAATTATGGTTTAAATTTGAAATTTTGTTTTGGATTTTATTTTATTTATTATTTTTTTCTTCTCAAATTATAAACCGCCGGCATTATAGATAAGTCCGCCATCGATGACCAGATTAGTACCGGTTATAAAACTGGCCGATTCGGAGGCCAACCAAACACAACCTTCGGCTATATCCTGGGGCTGACCAATACGTTTCAATGGTGTACGGGATATGAACTGTCGTTTTCGGATTTCCCATTTTTCCGGATCAATATCCGGCTGCATACTAGTCTCAGTTACACCAGGACTATGAAAATAATAATAATAATTAAATTATAGTATAATAATTAAATTAATTAATTTATAGTATAATAATTAAATTATAATTTATAATTAAATTATAATTTATAATATACAGTATATACAGTATATACAGTATATGTTATGTTATATTATTATTAATACTACAACTAATAATAATAATGTTATTAATAGTAATTACTTGATTGTATTGACCCGTATATTGGGTCCCAATTCAAGTGCCAACACACGGGTCATCATATCGACACCGGCTTTAGACACTTCATAGGCTAAACTATTTTTCATCTATTTATTGAATTAATAATTTAATGAATATTTAATTTCAATAATAATAATAATAATAATAAGCACATACCGGTACAGTTGACATAATACTAGATATGCTGATAATAGTGCCGTTAGTTTTGTTCAAATAGGGAACCGATAGATGACTGAGCTCAACATACGGTCGGAGATTAACACTCAGTATTTTGTCAAATACTGATACAAATTGTTTATCAGTAACGTTAGCCCGCAATCCCATACCGGCGTTGTTGACCAACACATCCAACTGGCCGTATGTTTTGATTGTCTGATCCAATAGTGACTGCAATTCAGTACTTTTGCTAATATCGGCCCTGACTTGTAATGGCTATACATATAATAAATTATTTTTTTTATTAATAAGTTTATTATTATTACTATATAACAAACCTTTAGTTTTTTTGGTGATAACTGTTGGCATTCATTGGCCACTAATTGGATTTCAGTTTGATTTCGACCAGTGATGACAACATTGGCACCCAATCGGGCAAACAGTTTGGCAATACCGGCACCGATACCACTACTCGAACCGGTAGTCAATACAACTTTTCCGGTAAAATTTCGCGGATCATTCAATTGATTGATATTATTATTATTAACATTATCTAAATTAAACAAAATATTTGCATTAACTATAGTTATAACTATAGAAACTATACAACTTATAAATAGTAAATAATTCATTATTTATTTATTAATTTTTTGTGAGTAATAATATTAATAATAAATAATTTTTTATATTTGAAAAATATACAGAAAATATTTATATATATTTATTTTTTCAACAAACCTAACCTATGCTTATATACATATTAAACTTTATTGTTTTTTTTATCAATACTATTTTTTAAATAAAAAATATATTAAATTGAAAAAAATGATAAAATTGTTGTTAAATGTCAAGTAATAATGTTATTATTATTATTTTTATAATAATATAATAATAATAATATTGCATACTATTGCAGTGCATTGTTAATAATTGTTTAGTATATATATATATATATAATATTTATCAATTATTTTTTATTAGTATATTAATCTTAAAATTATTATTATTATTATTATTAAATTTCATTAGCTAAAATTATAATTTTTTTTTAATTAAATTGAATGGTACAAAATATTTGAAACAAAGTGTTCAAGATAAACTTAATAATTTGATAAAAGTTCAATCAGTCTAATAATTTATTGTATTTAATAATTTAATGTATAGTTTTATTTTTTTAAAAGTAATTATAATTAATATTTAATTTTAATGTACTATGTTACATGTACTAATTAATTAAAAAAATAAAAGAAAGTATATTATTTAAATATTTATTATAATCTAATATTAAATTATTTTTTAAAAAAAACTGTAATTTTTATTTAAAAATATATTATATTTTTGCTTTAAAATTTAAAATTATTGTATTTATTATAGTTGGTATTAAACAAACACAAAATATTTTTTTTTAAAAAATAAAGTTTTTTTCTAATAAATTTAATTGTATATTTAAGGTTATAATTTTTTAATTGTTTATTTTATTATTGCAATTACTATCCAAGTTATTCAATATTTTAAAATTATAATAATTAGAAAAAAAACAAAATAAAATTATTTAATAATAAATATTTTATATTTATTTGTTAAGTATTATAACAAAAATAACTTAAAATAAATATTTTTTATATATAAAATTATTTTTAAAAAAATATAATATACACTGAAACTTAAGTATTGAAATAAAATTTATTTATAAGTATATTGTTATATATTTCAATGTCAAACATAAGTTGTTTTTTGATACTAAACAATAATAATAGATATATTTAAATACTTTAAGTACAAAAAGTTACATTTAGTTACACTAATTGCATAAGTTGTAAATTATTTTTTTTAAAATTAATTTATATATATATATATAAAATCTATATATAAATAAAAAAATAAAAAATAAATAAATAATTGATTGATTGTTAGTTTTAGTATTAAAGTTTTAATTATATATTATTTGTACTGTATTTTGCATGTCAATTATTTGCTGTCAATATTAATATTTTATATCAATAATAATAATAATAAATGCACTAATATTAAACTATACAAAAATATATCATATTAGATTTATCTATAAAAATAAATTTATGTTTTTATTTTTATTATTTTTTACATACAATAAAAAATCAATTAAACTTAGAGCTTTAATAATTATAAATAAAACTAAAACACAAAATTAATTAATTAAATTTCACTTTTATTATTATTATTAAAAATACTTTATACACTGTATATATATATATATACTGTTTATATCTATAAATATTTAATATATTATTTTAATAAATACTTTTTCAATGTCGTACACAAACTACAGGTATTTTAAGCTAATTATATAAAACTATATAATATACTAATAATAAATAAATTTACTTATAAGTAGAAAAAGTTACATTTAGTTACCACTAATTATGTTGTTTTTGAATTGCAAATAATTTTATTAAATTAATTTATATATATATTTATATAGACATTTAAAATACTATTTTTAGTATGTATGTAAAAATTTAATTGCACTATTAATATACACATTAAATATATATATATATATATATATAAATATTAGATATTATATGATTATTAGATATTTCCGTAAAATATATGATATTAATTTTATTTATAAAATTTTAAAGTTTTATTTTTTTGAATTATATTAATCCGCCGCCATTCAGAAACAGTCCGCCATCGATGACCAGATTAGCACCGGTTATAAAACTGGCCGATCGGGAGGCCAACCAAACAACACCGTCGGCTATATCCTGTGTATCGCCCAAACGTTTCAATGGTGTCCTCGATATGACTAACCGTTTCATTGCTTCCCATTGTTCGGGAGTCATACCCGACTGTAGATTAGTCGGTGTTAATCCCGGACTAAATATAAATATATATTTAAATAAATAAATATAATTAGTAATTATAAAATAATAATAATACTATTAAAAAAAATAATAATAATATTAAAAACTAATAATATTATTATTAAAAACTAATTATAGTATTATTAAAAACTAATAATAATATTATTATTATTAAAAAATTATAATATTACTAAAAAATAATACTAATATATTTACAAATATTAATTACTTGATTGTATTGACCCGTATATTGGGTCCCAATTCAAGTGCCAACACACGGGTCATCATATCGATGGCAACTTTTGATACTTCATATGATAAACTACCTTTCATCTATATATTTATATATTAATATATATATATATTTAAAAATTTATTAAAAATTATACTACTATACTATACCGGCATCATTGATAGATCGCTAGATATGCTGATAATAGTGCCGTTAGTTTTGTTCAAATAGGGAACCGATAGATGACTGAGCTCTACATACGGTCGGAGATTAACACTCAATACTCTATCAAATATTGGCATAAATTGTTTGTCAGTAACGGGAACACCGAGTGCTATACCGGCGTTGTTGACCAACACATCCAACTGGCCGTACGTTTTGATTGTCTGATCCAATAGTGACTGTAATTCAGTACTATTGCTAACATCGGCCCTGACTTGTAATGGCTATACATATAGTTTAATAATAATTATAATTATTACTAATAATATTATTATTATTAATATAAGCAAACCTTTAATTTTTTTGGTGATAACTTTTCACAATCATTGGCCACTAATTGGATTTCAGTTTGATTTCTACCAGTGATGACAACATTGGCACCCAATTGGGCAAACAGTTTGGCAATACCGGCACCGATACCACTACTCGAACCGGTAGTCAATACAACTTTTCCGGTAAAATTTCGCGAATCATTATTATCATCACTGTTTGCATTGACTATAGCTATATAAATAGTAATAAAACTTAAAAATATTAAATATTTCATATTAATTGTTTGATTGTTTGTCTTTTTTAAAAATTTAAATATTTAATTATTTTTAAAAAATTAATTTTTCAGTAAATATACATTAGTTTATATACAAAATTATAAATGATAAAGTGTACTAAAATAATTATTAATTATCTATAAATACTTAAAAAGTAGTTATTGTCAAGTACATTTTTGTTTAGTAGATATTTTATATATATACTGTATAAGTATTAAGTTCTCAATTGTTTTTTTTTTTAATATTGATAAAAATAAATTATACTTAAAATGCACTAAAAACTAATTATACATTTATTAATACAATAGATAATTATATTTTGTTAAATAGACTAATAATTAATTATTTACTAAATAAAAATATTACATTAATTTAAATCAATTATTATTATTTATTATTATTATTATTTTTATATTTTAATGTCTATATATATATTTATTTTAGTTTTTAAAAAATAACTTAATTAAAAGTATAGATTTTATTTTTTATTATTAAATAATGTTTTTAATTTTTTAAAATATATATATATATAGCGTTATTGCCTAATATATAGTTATCTTTTATTAATGTTTTTAATTAATTAGACAAAAAAAAATATTTTTTTTTCAAAAATAATTAAATAAATAAATTTTTACTTTTAAATGTCAAGTACTAAATGATATTTATTGTACTTATTTTACAAGTTATTATTATTATTATTATTTTAACATTATAAATAGTTAAATATACACATTTAATTTTTATATAATAAAATTACATTGTTTAGTTACTGTTAATCTATACTAGTTATTAGTTTTATTATTATTACAATTTATTTTAATCAGCTAAACTTAATTATATTTTTTATTGTTTTTTAACAAATATACATTTTTATGTTTTTATAATATTATGTTTTATGAATTATTATTTTAATACAAATAAATATTTATTTTTAAAAAACTGTAATATTTTTTAAAAAATTTAGAATTATTTTTGTTATAAAATTTTAAATCTTTATAATTAGGAGTTTAAAAGCCAAAGTAAAATTTTAATTATCAATCTTGAACTTGATTATATATTTTTTATATTAAATAAATTTATTCAAACAAATAATTTTCACATATTTTTTAAAAAATATAATAATCATATATCAATATATTTTTGTAATAGCTATAAATTTAATATTATATAATTATTTTATTATTAATTAATTATAAATTTAATTTAATTACAGTTTTCATATTATAGTAATTATTATTACTAATTATATAAAACAAATTATTTTTTATATTAATAATTTTAATATTTTATATATATATATAAAATAATTTTATATAATTAATAACATTTTATTATTAATTATATAAATATATAATTTTAAAATTTTAAAACTTTAAAATATTCCACCTAAATTATATACGAGTCCGCCATCGATGACCAGATTAGAACCGGTTATAAAACTGGCCGATCGGGAGGCCAACCAAACAACACCGTTGGCTACATCCTCGGGCTGACCAATACGTTTCAATGGTGTCCGCGATATAATCAACTTAGACATGGCTTCCCATTGTTTGCGATCCCAATCCGAGTTTAGATTACTTACGGTTACTCCCGGACTATACATATGAGCAGAAAAAATTATATATTAAATATTAATTAAAAAATTTAATTAATATTATATATATATATATATATATATATATTAATTACTTGATAGTATTGACCCGTATATTGGGTCCCAACTCCAGTGCCAATACACGACCCATCATATCGATGCCTATTTTGGATACTTCATAGGCTAACAATGATTTACTCTAATTTAAAAAAATATATAATTATTACATAAATAAATAGTTAATTATTAATTATTATTATTATGTATAATAAAAATTGAATACTTCATAGAATTAAACTAAATATAATAATAATTAAAAAAAATTAAATAATAATAATAATAACCGGAGCCATTGACAGTCCGCTAGATATGCTGATAATAGTGCCGTTAGTTTTGTTCAAATAGGGAACCGATAGATGACTGAGCTCTACATACGGTCGGAGATTAACACTCAATACTCTATCAAATACTGGAAT